CTGAGTATGACCAACAGCCACAAAGGATTCTTCTATTTTCTCTCTATTTCTTGGTACTCAGAGTTACAGGTTTTCATCCAGCTGATGGGAGAGGAGAGACTAGAGTAGAGGATTTGCTTCAAAGGTGATAGCTGTAGGACTGACTTCTGGCCCAGCAAATGAACCACCCTCTGCCTTCCCAGTGTCTCCTGATTTATTGTCTTATCTTATTCCTGTGCATTGGAAACTTCAAAAATAGTGGAAGACCTTACCCAGGGCCTTGAAGTCTAAAATAAGAAATCAGCAATATTTCAGTGATGCCTCCACACTCAGTTTCTTTGTTACACATGACTGTAACAGAGACATGCTTGCCAAATTGATTTTAAGTGTGAATTAGGTAAGATATTTTCATTCTGTCATTGTTCCTCACTAAACATGTGGCCCAAACTGAATTTATTACAAGAGAAGGCTCTGATATTTTGCCCAGGTATCCTCACAACTCAGAAAAGGAAGCTACTTGCTGCATGATTTTCCCCAGGAAGAACAAGAACATTTGGTCCAGATGCACTGGGGACACAGGACTGAAGAGCTACAGGTATGTGGAAGGGACGTGTAAGTTATAATGTACCCCAGAAGGGTGACTGCAGATGCAAACTTCCTGCAAAAATTTCCAGTCTCCTTCACCACAAGAAAATTCCACAATTTGAATTTGCTACTAGGAAGTTGCCAAGTTCATAATGCCTTGGGGTGTCTTAGTACAGGCAGTCCTACAAGACTAGCTGAAATTCCTTCCAGGGAAATAAATTCCTAACTTTTTAAAAGCAGCTGATCAGACTTGGCCCCTGATTTATTTTGCAGAGCTGCAGTATGGTAAACTGCCAGCTGCTGGAGAGAAGCCTCGTGCTGCTGCCAAAGCAGAAGGTAAAGAACCTGCAGTGAGGAATGACCTGCAACTTGCATTTAATTAATTTTTTTTGTGTTTTTTTTTTTTTTGGGTTTGTTTTTTTGTTTTGTTTTGTTTTGTTTTGTTTGGGTTTTTTTTTGTTTGTTTCTGCACTGGCTTGAAACAGCATTAGGGGTCTAAAATGAGTAGGAGAGAAAACCTGGAGAAAGCATGAAGGATTAAGTCCTGGAGTAAGGAGAAAGTGCTGGGGTAGAAGTGATGTTTCCACTTCACACAAAGGGAAAGGATTTGTGGAAGTTTTGTGAAGAAGTGATATATGGCTGCAAATATTTCCAGAGCAGCATAGATATATTTGGTCAGTTCCATAGCTTGCAGAGTATCTTCTATGTGTACCTTTTCCCCACAGAAGAGTGAAAAAATATCACTGTGCGTAAGGTTATAGAGGAACAATTTAATAACTGACCCAATAAGCCAGCTTCTGCAATTCTACATCTACCTTTCCTTTCCTACTATAGAAGGAGAGTTTATACTTGGTGTGTATGTGGTAATAATTTCTTTTGCAAACTTTCTTGGACAGTGAGGAAGCATCTCAGATGTATTTGCACTTACAAATGATCCCATATTCAAACTTTCTGAATGATGTGCTGCATAAAGCCATCTTCCCAGGCCACTTTCTGTCAATGTGGAGCAGACATGAGAAACTCAGCAATCAAAGGCACATGCAGCCCAGCACACACACTTTATTCTTCACACAACTGCTTACAAATCTGATTCTCCAACAGGCAACTTTCCACATTAACTGTTTTATTTTATTATTCCTTCATAAATGAGTTTCTTTCTCTTTATTTCAGTGAGCTTTCATTATTAATTTTTATAGGAGAGTTAGCTGACTGCAGTTATGACTCTTATTAGATCATCTATTCAACCCACTGTGCTTACAGGATTTGTCAGGAAACAGGAGAGCACACACTATTGAATTTTGGGCTTTGAATCTCTCATGTGTAGCTCAGATCACTAAAAGGGCCTCTACAACTTAATTACTCACTAAAAGCAAGAAGACAAGTGCTGAGCAGTGATGAGCTGCATTTTTTCCCAAAGTCCCCACCAGCAGTCAGCATCTATTTGGAAGTGCTTTATTGGTTCTTTTTCTGGCAAGGAATAAGTTGCATCACATCATTTTAAGGTCTGAAGTACTTTTGCTTGACACCCCCAAATCCCTCATTTTAAACTGAGTGAAAACTTATTTATCTCAGCAAGCAAGCATCAAGCAGACACCTGCGATGTTCCTTCTATATCTTGCCATAAGTACCTATACACTTAAAAAACAATTCTTTCAAGTTGTACTGAAGTAAAATGTGACACAAGCATTTGGTTTAGGCAGTATATCTGATAGAGCTGTGGTTCTGGAAATTTCCAGCAGCCATTCTCAGATAATGGACTCTTCTATAATAAATTATTTCTAGGATACTAAAATTACTAAATTTATACCTGATATGCCCAGTTATGTCATTGAAATGATATAAAATATGATGCTCATCTTTTCCCATTAGCAGTCCCAAGGAACATCTTAGAGGGAAAAAAGAAGCTACAAGTTCATTGCTGTATCTTAATGCATTGGACAAACTTAGCATGACAGGTGGCATTTCCATCCTTACCACTCACACAAGGTCCATGTAAGCTGGTTGTTTTGACAGTTCCTTCTTCAAACACAGATCTTTTCCATGAACAGAACTAATTTGAGCAGTGACCACCATAATGGGGATACAATACTTTCTCCTAGAAATGCCAGTCTTGTCTTCACTGCTGAATCTCATAGAACAACATGAAAATAGTCTTCATTCCTGTCTAGTGCAATTATAATCTTTGTCTGACCATCAGCAAATAAAACATTTAGCACAGTCCCATGTAAGTACTAAACCTCATTTGCTCTTCACAGCCATTGTTACAAACAAATCCTGTTACAAACACATCCTCTATTCTTATTTCAAATTATCCTCATCTCCCTGCAACTCTACTTCCCTCTGGCAGAGGAACTATGATGCTGCTCAAGCTTTGTATGTAAAATTGACTGATGGGAAACACAGCTTTACTTCTAGGCATTTAAGAAGAAATTATTTAATTTAGCCTTCTAATATTAATTAACTGATATTAACCCCTACCCTTCCCTTGGCAGGGTGCCCCAGTCACCTTACAAACCACATATTCCACACTGACTTGCAGAAGAATGAACCTTCACCCTCACCTTGCAGGCCACTCTGGATCAAGCAATGAATCACATCAGTGTGGTCTCTACCTCACACAACCTTATCAGAAAATTCATCTGGAGCTTTTCTTGTCAGAGTGAACTCAATATTTGAAAAATCTTGGGCTCTCAGAATAGAATGCTAGGGGAAGGCTGTTGTCTCTGACCTCATATTTCTATTTCTTCTAAACTACATTTCTATTTCCAGATGTTTGTTTTAAAAATTAAGTTTGTGCTCTTCAAAATGTGACAGACTGACTGTACAGAAGTGAAATTTTTCTGTCCGCAGAAGTCTTACCTGTCGAGGTTCATCATTACAAAAGCAGAGGAGATATACCCATGCTGTTGATTCACTGCAGTGCAAAACCTCAAGGGTAAAACATTTAAGCCCCCCATAATCCCTTCAGACAGGAGTGTTTGCCTTTTCTCAGGAAATTCTCAAAGTGTTTAAGTTGGTATCCTCATATCAAGATCTAGACTTGCACTCCTAACTCAAAACTGCTCAAATAGTTCAGCCATCTGAGACCTTGTGAAAGGGGTTTATCACCACGTGAATGTGATACATGGCTTTTGTTAAAAATTAAGTCAGGACCATCCTTTTTCTGTTTTGAATCAAGAGGATCCATTTGAATGACATATTCACATTCCAGGCTTTGGGGGAACATGCTTCAGGATCTTGTTAAGAAATAGAATACCTGCGTAAGAGTCATAATACAAATCAAAGTTTGAGCAGGCTTTTTCTTTCATATAATTATAGCAAGTAAATTCACTCTTTTTTCTTTTTTTTTTTTTTTTCTTTTAATTATTCACCAGTCAGTCAAGTCCAGACATAGAGTATCATTTCAGAAAGAATAACTTGGTTTTGAGCATAAAATTTTTTGTGACCTTTACAGCCCCTTGCATGGAATGTCTGATGGATATAGATGTTGCTGCCAGAGTTCGTTTTTCTACCTTTATTAACTTAAGACTGGGATAAATTATCTGCAAAATCAAAACCTGCTAACCATACACATCTATTTATTTGCTTCTTTTTCCAAGGATGCAGTATTTCAGTGAACAACCTCATAAACTTTTAAAGAAAGCTGAATGCAGATGGAGCTTTCACTGCATCACTGTGTGTCATAATGCAGATTCTCAGATGAATGTTACTGCCCTGAGCAGTAAATAAGCAGAATTTTTTGGTCCTCATTATCTTAACCTCAATCATATACCAGGAATATGAAGTTGTCCATAAAACAACAAAAAAACCACACAAACTCCCTGCCCCCCAAAAAAAGAAACACCACCACAAAAACACCAAACAAAACACAAAATCCTAAGAAACAAAATAATGCCACAAAAAACCCAAATGAAACTCAAAAAAAAAAAAAAAAAAAAAAAACAAAAAACCCTCTATGCTTACCTGTGCCCAAATAAGAGCCCTAAAAATTTATTAAAGTAAAAGTACATCTTACACCACCTGTTCTCTACCTACAGATTTTTTCATAAATACATAGTGCAGCTCAGGACCTAATGCAGTCTTAATAGTAGAAGGAGATCCACAGCTTGGGAGAATATCTGTTTCTAATTTATCTTGATGAAACTTTGCCCATGTTTCAAATTCCCTATGCTGTAGCAAATATTAGCAACCCCCCCCCTCCCCCAATCCTAATTTATTAGTAAAAGAAGATCAATTGTATAGATCAATTGATCTATACACTAGACACATAACACTTCAAGATAAAACTCACTTTTTGTGTCATCCGGTGCCAAAGGAAATTCAGATTTCATTAAATAGAATTGATTTTTTTCAAGAACATAAAATTAATGAAGATGTTCTTATGTAAAACATGAAGATATGAAACAGTGTTCATTTTAACAAACACACTCAACAAATCCATTTAAACCAAAGCCTTGTATTAGTTTTCAGCAGTATCCCATAGGAACAAGATTGAATATATAAAGATGAAACAGGTAATTTTGGTTTCAGCTTACCCTAGGTAGTAGGACAATCATTCATTGACTTCAGTTTGCATTTATTCACTCCTATTACGCACCAAAGGAATACATTCTGCCAATCAGGACAGACACAGCAGTCATGAAAAAGCAAAACCACTGGTAGTCCATATAGACAGAAAACAAACCAGACTCTGCAACAAGGGCTAAAGAGTGCATATCCTTAAAATCAATAAACACAATTTCTCTGCAAGGGCCTTGCACAAGGAGGTGGAAGAAAACAGATAAGATGCATTCAATTAGTCAGCCTTGCAAAATTTAATCCTACCAGACTGAAGAAACATAGAAAGCTGAAGAAATTGCAGCCTTAGTCATATTCTTTGGACTTTGAGGCCATATTTAACATATACATTCAGTTCAGAGAGCATCTCAGTCCATCTTACAGAAGTACCCCCTTCTACAGTCACACATTAATTAACATCAGCTTCATATAAAAGCATGGTCATGCCAAGTTTTAGCAGGTGAATTTTTTTTTCTAACAGAGTTACTCACGGAACCTAGAAGGTACACTTGCATATGTATGTGTGTATATATATATATATATATACACACACGCATATATTTTGAACTCTGGTCTACATTAACTCTAGTCCTTGCACTTTCATACAGGAAAGTTCCAGTAACCATCAACTAGCAAAGGGTCATAGGAAAAAAGAGTTAAATAACTATTAAACTACTCTTTGGCTGTTAAATAGCAGTATTTCATAAGTATGGAGTCAACTGGACAACATAGAGGAAGCACTCTCAAGACTCTTTCATCTTCATCCAATTTTCAATCCTAGGTTCAACAGCGTCTTAAAATTTTATGAAAAAATATTCATCTTCCCTTCACCCCCAAGGTCAGCAACACAGATCCTGCCTGGTGATACTGACAAGGGGATGAGGAGTTACAAGATGATCTATTAGGTTATATTTCAGCACTAAAAATAATGAAACACATTTCTACACATAACAGAATATAGTGATAAAAATGTCTTCAGGTAGTGGTGAGAAGCAGCTGTTCTGTACTGCTAAGTACCTTCATTAGGAGTTTAGATTTCCATCTTCAGAGCTCATTTGGGAAGGAGCTGAACAGTGATTTGAGAAGCCAACACAGATGTACATATCCAGGTATTTTCTACTTCTTCCAGAGAGTCTCCTGAAAAATTAGGAGAGAGAGATTTGTGGAGGGTGCCTGAAGAAGGATACTGAACCCAGAGGACCTGCAACAGTTAACAGCAGCTGAGACACTGAGATTTTCTCCCAGTTTTCAGAGTCTACCCTTTTTCTGCATACGTGGAATTTCTCACAGAATTATCATCTCTACTAAAGGCAAATTAATTACCCAACTAAAGAGTCCATGGAAGCAGTGAAAGGAACATTTCAGAAGACAAAAGGAAAGAACAGTTCCTCTTCCTGTCACATTGCTCACACCAGGCTTCCCTTTAACTGTGGTGAGAAGCCAGCTCTATAATTCTAATTGTGCTGTAATTGTCTGCTGTGTACGTTTAACATCTGCCTGTGCCATAACAATCAATAGCAGTTAACTTTGTTTTTCTTTTCCCCCTTGGTGTGATAAGTGATGTTTCTTTCCAGCTTGTGTCACAGTTTGTATTATCTTTGTTGACAGCCCATCTTGCAAGGGAGTCTCTCTTCAGTGTTATGTTAATAATCTTAGAAGAGAAAATACACAGTGCTAATTCCTAAAAACCAGGGAAATGACACATCGCTGTGTACCTGGCTATAGCCCTAAAACTTGAATGACAGAGCTATTTTGTCTGAGTGCAATGGCACTGATCTCCCTCTTTCTATAAAATTATGCAACCATACATCAAAGCAGTGGTTCCATTATTTTTATATGTCTAGCAAACAAAACTGGACATTATATCCTGCAACCTAAATGTCTGCAATATGGACAGCTCCACTAAATGTTTGGTTGCTGACAGACGATCTGCAAGACACTGATTTATGGGGGACAGAAGGTAAAATTATCTGGAGTCAGAGAGTAAGTTACACTTGCAATTTCAGATTTTCCTCCTTAATTACTGCAGTAATACAGAAGATTGGCAAGAAAAAACAAACACAGATGTTCCCCAGTTTTGCCTAGTGTTTGGTGACTGGCAAAATACAAAAGTCCCAAATCTGACTTTGGTAAAAGTCCATGAGAACTCTGGGTCCTTGTCTAAGTTTTAAAGGGGATTCCAAGAAAATTTTCATTCTAACAAAATATTTTTCCAGATTGTTCTTACCTGGAGAAATAAGCTGAAACATTAAAAGAACACACAGGAAATGGTCTGTATCATTTTTATTTTTACATATGAGTGAAGCAGTGACAATCTCCAAATTTTTATCTATGGAACATACCATTTAAAATGTCTTTTAAGATCTTCCATGAAGAACATAGATTGAATAAATTACTATTTACAAGTGAAATTTTTTTTTTTTTTATCCAAACTTCACAGTGAACTGTATTATATACTTTGGTATGCCGGTTTTCCACATGATAAAAGTATTGAAATATTAAAAGGCTATACTCAAAATAGTCCTTGTTGAAAAAAACTGAAGAAGTTTATAAGGATCTATTTCCTGTTAATAGAGTTTGAAAAAGTTTAAGTCAAGGCATCTAGTCTCCTAAATATTTTTTTTAAATCAAAGCTCTGAACCATGACAGGTAAAAGCATTCAAGAGTATAAACTATATTAAAAAAATCCCAAACAGCCAAAGCCAGTGGGTAAAATATAAAGGCTATGTGACATCCTGTAGTTATCTATGACAGCTTAATAGCATTTCAGGGATATAACAAATACAGCAAAGATTTCTTCAGAACATTAATTCTTGGCCATACTAGCTCCGAAATAAAATGAAATATTTGATATTGATACCTACAGAAAAAAACTTACAGCCTTTTCCTCCTGTCATAAACATTACACATCTTCCTTACAGGAATATCCTTAACAGACTCATCCTCTCGAGTACCACTTCAGAAAAAAAAATTTCCATAGGGTTGGAATATAGGCTGTGTTATCCATCCATGCAACTCCTACTTCTGGTATTAATGTTCATGGGAGCTAGCAGAAAAGAACAGTAATAGAAGCCCATGAATGTGAGAACGTATAACACTTTTTTTTTCTCTCTTCTGTCTTTTTGATCCCTTTGCTGCTTGAATTTTTGTGTTTATACATTGTTTTCCTATGTTAGGAGAACAACATGACAATCGTTTTAGTGTATTTCTTCATTCACACACAAAACTAGCTTGGCAGGTTAGCAAACAAGACAAAACCTAACTCAGAGATAAAAATTGAGACAGTGAGGAGGAATACTTTTCCCTAAATAGTTGAGCTCAAAATATCATCTTCAATTGCTCTTCTCTACAGACAAATATGTACCTTCGTAGCTTTGTGTACCTCCTTGTTCTACACTACGCTAAAAACACACACTGACAAAACCATAGTGGTTTTGCCACACTTACAACATCTATATGCTCCAACTAAAACAAAGAACTCTGAAGGAAAAGAATCGAAGTATTTACATTAATTAAATTCACTGCTGCCAGAAACTGTAACTTCAAAATTGTGAAATAGAATTTAGTAAGAGAAACAAAAGCTGTTACAGCCAATTCAGAAATGAGCAAGCACTCCAACTGACTCTTTAAAATACTAAGTCATCAACCCTAAAAAATAAAAGATAATTGAACAGATACCATGTAGTAAAGGTTGCAGGCTATGTATGGCTGCAGGAAGCAAAAAAATAAAACTCCTTGTGAAAAACACTGCATGGGTAAAGGCTGTACTGCAGATACAGCCAGGCTTAATTAAACACATCAATGGCAAAATATTTTGAGGACAAGCTCAGTGTTAAATGCATGATTTTTGTGTGAAGCTGCAGGTGACAAAATCCAGATGGCAGCAAATCATGACTGTAACAGAAAAGGCACTTTATACATTTCTTATTTTGATCATTACCACTGTTACTATTTTTGGTAATAAGCAGCATCTTTAAAAGTGAGCAACATAAGGCTGAGATTCATGCACAGTAGAACCACTACCCCTACATCCCTAAGAGCACATCACTTTGCAGCCTTCAAGATGGACATAGTACGAAACAGGCGGCCTCTTGTGCAATGTGCTATCAACAGTACTGTCTGCCATTTAGGTCAGGCTTTTAGAAACAGTCAAAACTCTTAAGAAGGATAAAGATTTATTTCAGGCTGCTAATATTGATAGGCTTCCTTAGGAAGAGCCCTGCTGGAGGGTTTCTCCCAAGGTGCTTCCTTCAGAACTGTCTCTCTGGAGGCTGTTGTCCAAATTCAGAATTCCCACAGAAAAGCCCGATGGATGACTGCTAAAGAGCTTTTTGGTTTCAGCTTTGTGCCAGACCTGCTGTTGTAATCACCAACTCAAACTATAACACCCTATATCTATAACTCTATTCCTGACCAACCAAAATTGCCAATTTCAGGTATTAAACCTAAAATCTCAGTGTTACAAAATTGCTTCAGGGAGAGTTGTCATCAACTCAAAGGGAGCTAAGTGAGGGCAGAGAGTCATCCTAGTCACCACACAGATTTCTCCTGGAGGATGTGGGCTGGATAGTTAATTCATCACACAAAAAGCAAGGGGGTAATTAAGATGTCTCACATAAAGAGCAGTTGAGAACATTAGTCCTGGTTACGATTCCCTGTCTCTGCCCTGACACACCAATGCTATTTTCTATCCTCTCATCACTTACCAAATGCTTAAACCTCCCAGCCTTTTTCTTTGCCTGTAACTAATCATTACTGGCAACTGGCCACAAAGTTAAAAACATCCAGTGGTAGTGTTCTGTGTAGTTTTCAGAAAAAATAAAAGCCTTCTTAAAAAACTATATGGTGAAACACCAGGATACAGAGAATAAGGATCATATTTTTGATTCTGGGATCCATACTATCATTTCAACAGTACCACATTACTGCATTGTATGCATTACTGTATATATCTACACATGTATTTACAATTTGCAGGTCCAGATCTGGACAGAGAAACTACAACTCTTCAAAGAAGGACGAAAAGAAAAGTGTTCTATGTTGCCTTTATAAAGGGCAACTGGCGACCTGGCTCAGGGGACAGCACGGCGGTCTGGCCTCTCCAGGCCGCTCGGGCTATCGACAAAGACGCTGGCACCAATTTGGTGGACGATCGAAAGCCTTTATTATCTCATCTCGTGGGTTTAAATAGTCTTGGGGGTCTTTGCTACGTCAGAGGGGGGTTGAGGGGTCTCTAGGGTTAGTCGGGAGTGGAAGGTTACCAGAGCAGGTGTGGTCACATGCTCCTGGGGTTAATGGATAGCGTGGGGCAGGAAGAGGGGGAAGGGTCTCTCTCTTTCCGTCACATCCCGTGGTCTTCCGTTCGCCTGTCCCTTATCTACCACAGTTCTTCCAAACACTCAAAGTAATTTACTTGAACCTTTTATTTCTCTTCCATGTATGCGCATTTTGAGAGTAGGGCACAAAATGTGTCTTGATTTTGAAGGGATTACTTATCTCTGATGTGTATGGTCTTTCATATGGAAATCAGACATTATTTATTTCCTTGAACAAACCCCATGTTCAGTTTATACAAAAATCTAGATTTACACACCTAGAAGAAATATTATCCCCCATTTATTTTCAAGCTCATTTTGAAGCACAATTCAAACTCTGGTAATAAAGAGTCTGACCCACAACCTCTTACCATTTGTCCAAATTTACCCAGCTTTGGCAAACCTTCTTTGCCTACTCTTCCAGGATTTTTGCATGTTGTTTGGACAGAAGTTCACTCAAAAATGTTGCTACAAATCAGCAGTGCACAGCTGGTGTTTTTCATGGGTTTTCTATGCAAAACCTGGAATTCCCAAAGTTTTTGGCTTTGCACACATTGTGAAGATACAATGCTGATTTAACAGCCCAGAATTGCCCAAACCATTCACTTCTGTGAGAAGAATGAATAACCAGTAGCACATCAGGACAAACTAGCAACATCTATGCCAGAATTCACAGCATTTACATTTGCTTAGTACCTAAACTTTGACCCTAACATCCTGATCCAAATGAGCATTAGATCTGAGAATGTTCTAGTTCAAGCCTGTCAGAACATTCAGATCAGCTTTCTGTACTATGAATGTTTAATCCCAGACCCATGAAATTCAGCAGCAAAATTTTAGCTGCTTTCTATGGTATTGAATGGAAATAGACTGAAGTAAATGGAAATTTTCTACTTACTCCAAGGTGGCGTTCTATACAATAGCTGACAGAGACTATTAAAAGGGTAATAAGTTTCTCACCTTTAGATTTAGTCTTGGAAACAAACCAAGACTACTACTTTTAGTAGTACTTTTTTTAGCATCAGTTAACATTTTTAGCATCAGTTAAATATAATCTAGAACGGGGAGAGTCCTGGGATAGGTGGGATGGATATATGTCAGGAGCCTGTTTTGTCTAGACTTAAAAAGAGAAGACTTGAGGAGTCCTTGCCTACAGCTGTCAGATGGGAGAGAGTAGGGAGATGGTCATATTTTACAGCTACCCAGTGGGTAGAGGAGAAGAAGTAGACACAAGCAGCAACTTAGGAAAATTCCATTAAAAAATATATTGTCAGAGTAGTCAAACACTTTGCCTCTGCAGTGTTCAGCACTTCAGGTCTCACTGCAAAAGTTTATGCATGCTACGATTTTGATGTTTGTATTTGTAATTCTTGCTCTGGGTAAAACTTAGAAAGCAGTGCTACACTCAGAAAATATTTTTTTAAGATGCTATATATGTATTTGTGACAAAGACATCTGAAATTTTAGAAGCTATTTATTTTTTTAGAAGTGTCTGATCCTTTCATTTATTCCCCACCTGAAATCAGCCTGAGGTGCATAATCATTCCTGCTGGAACCAATTGATTTCACAGCTTATTCTTTCAGTTGAGAAATAAGCAAAAGATGATGAAACCTGCAGGGAAAAAAAGCATTCTTGAAAACTTTTCCATCTCCCAATCTAAAAAAAACCAGAACAGCAAGGAAACTATATATGCAACAATTTCCAAACTTTTTTTCCTGAGAAATAAGTAGATAAATAATAGTCCTAATTCAGCAAAGCAATGAGGTATCTGGACAACATATGAATCGTGAGTGTTGGCTAAGATGCCTCTCCGAACTTGGGCCAATGTTGAGGTACGTTCCATCCTCTCTTTTTCTCATTTTCCTTGTCTAAATGATTCCTTCCTATGTGGCAGATATATCAGAAGAGCTAAGGAGACTTCACAGGTAGCAGCAACTGCTGAGTGCCTCTCACAAGTGGAGTGCTAGTATAACTCCACGTAGCTCTCCACAGCAGTTGAGTTAGGCCAGTTCTAACATCTCCAGAATGCCATTTAACCCAACACTATGGGAATAATGTTGGATTATAGTGCTCTCCACACATCTGCATCAAGTAATGGAGGAACCTGAGGCAGAGTCTCTTCCAGTATTATATCCCTTCTCCAGTTCTTCTTCTTCCCAGAGTAAGATACCATAATCTCAGATAAAATCCTCCCCATTACACTGGCTGAATCAGAAATACAAAGAGCAGGTACTTCGTAGCAACAGCCAAATGCAATGGCTCTGAATCTTCTGTGTGCCACTTTCATACAAGGTCAATTGCACCTATAATTAATTCATACAAGCTGAACCCTCAGCTGCTACCTTACACAGCCTTACAAATGCACAGACTGCACAAAACTGTATTGGTAATTAATTTGTCAAGCAAATGCTAGGGAAGAACAACACTGGTAATTTATACCATAGATATTCAAATGAAACATCTCGCCTGAGTAATTTAATGTCAGAGATTAGGAGAGCCACAAAGCAGAACAAAGAATTGGAGACTTCCATCAGCTATTTCTTGAAGGGACATTACTGTAATGTTTTATGAGCCAATTTCAGACACAGTAGAAACATATGCTTCTTCACTGAACTATTCTGGCAGGTTTTGGCATTAAAAGGATTGTGAAATTATAGATGCACATCTTATGGACAGTGACTAGGATAACAGAGGAAATTAGAAGTCAATCATAAAAGATCTGTATGAAAGACACTCTGTGCTATCCTGAGAAAGTATGGGTTAGCTACTGAAAATATATACTGCATTCTAGTTCTCAGCCAAAAAAAAAAAAAAAAAAAAAAAAAAAAGTAATGCAGGACTGACCCCACTACCACTCTTAGTATATTGTGGTAGTTGTTGTGGTGTTACTTTTTGTATGTAATAGAATTTCACTTAAAAAAGAAATTTTGGGATGATACTGCAGTGCTCTGCCAGGATATCCTGGATTCACTGGACTTCAGGAAAACCAAAAGTGGGATTCCCTGGCTTTGTGACTCTGTGCATTGGACTTCACGGTACGATGGAATTACCTAGTATTGGAAATGCTTTTAGTGCTAGAGGACTGGGTGTCTGAAATACCCAGAAGCTTCAATTTCAACTTGGTCAGCACTTCATTCCTGCTGCAGCAACTTTAGGAGCCTTGGTGAGGCTTATAGAATTTCTGATCTTGAATAAAAACCTATCTCAAATCCTGGTGTTCCAGAGTTCCACCCTGCTAAATGACTTCCTCAAATCTTCTACCAATACCTTTTAGAGGTCTGGACCACCTGACTTAAAGAAACTAAAATGTCTTAGCTGAGAATCCCACACCATGTTTCTTGGTTTCTATTGCCTAGAAAGCTCTCACCTTTGCAGTCAAAAAGAAGGGGAGAAGAAATTCTTCCTGGTGGCAGAAGTTAGGTAAAGCATTTCAAACCTTGTTGACAATAGAATATTTTATAATTTAAACTGCAAGAAACGTATTTTTAGATGCATTCACAACAGATGATGGGAAAAACTACACTTCTATGTAAAAATAATTAATATGCAGTAGAAAAGAGTCCCTTCATTTTCCGGGAGTATTGCCAGTTAGGATATTAGAGACATCTGAAACAGGCATCCTTAGCTCCAAGATGATCCATTTTCCTGACTTGTGTGTCTCAGGATGATTTAGTGGGATAAACAAGGATATATCTGAAGGAGCAATGGCAGAGCAAGCAAAACTGCACAAAAAAATATCCCCTTAGCTGTCTGTCTGCTTATGAAACCGTGAAGAGAAGTAGGTCCTTTGGGGAAAATATGAAAAAAAAGGATCATTTGGAAATTGCCTGACCACAGTTAGAACCTCTCTCTCCATGCAAAAGCTGTTGCTAATCTTGAAAAATGTTGTGTTAATATAGGTCTGATTGTGGGATTTGCCCCTTGATTTTTTACACAAGCCATTTGACAATAAGGCATATCACTACTAGATTTTAATCTGGCTGTACTTTACTTTCAGCAATATTTCTGAAATATATCCTGCTGAACAGAACATGATGAAACAAATGAAAGATGGGATGTAGAAGCAAAAAGAATATTTAAAAAGAGGCAGGCAGGAAATATAATTCATATAGAGTTGAAAAGTCTTCAAAAAAGTGAGAGGACATGAGGGGAGCTCTGCGCACTAGTTCTGCAAAAGCACAATTAGTGGATCTCCTACATGATAAAAATATCACTGTTCACAGACACTCTAGGTGTACTTCAGCCATACAAAAGAAAACAAAAGAGATGTATCTCAAGCAGTGTGGAGATATATATGCAAAAGTCAAAAACAACAAACAGAAACCTCACAAGATCAGCTGGAAACAGCTGAGGAACCACTCAGGGGGATGAAGCTATTATTGTTTAGAGGGTAAAAATTAATTCAGTCACACAGTTTGACAGTCAAAGTAACGAAGCTAAAAAATACAGCATGGATGAGATGTAATCATGAGTAACACAGAGTATTATACAGTAACTATAAAGCAGTGGACATATCTCATTATTGAAATATCACTCAACTTTTTGGCCTCTCTCTGATGCCATCAAAGGACTGAAAACAAGTCATGTTCCCAGCAAGTGAAAATATGGGTAGGTTTAAAAGGGAAAAATGTGGTATAAAGAATATACCAGTTTCCACAACACAGGCTTTATAATGGGAGAGAGAACTGAGAGCCAGAACTGTGGGCTTTGAAATTCCACCTTTTTTATTCATCTCCTGGGAATCCATGAACAAATCACCTCTTCCCTTGCCTTCATTTTTTTTTGTGAAGAAATTGGAACTGATGCATGTCTGATGGGAATTTGACAATCCTTATGAGATCATCACTTGAAAAGCTTTTTAAAATGTAATATGGGAATGTTGGGGAAATGCTGCAGTTGTACCCCCTCCAAGGTTTCTACTCACAGGTGTATGAGGGGGAGGACCAACCATTTTTTTTTTCAAATTAAAATTGTATTAATTTAAAACCTGGATTAATTATTTCTGCTCTCTAGAGAGAAAGTTTGAGTTAGTAGCTGTTGGAAAACTTGAAAATTATATCGGTGGCCATAAAACCCAGCTCCATGTCCATTACACTATCACCTGATGAGAAATGCAGTGTAGGGACTCCAATTTGCCAGCTGACTAATGCTTCACACCCAAGGACAAATAGTTTATTACAATTCACTAGAAAAGGAAACCATTTCTATAGCACAGTAATCTCCATATAGTAATTGTTTGATGGTTTTCAGCTGGAAAAAAAAATGCTAATAGGATCAATAAACAAAGAGAAAAAAGCTTTGAAACAATGACGAATATTCAATTCAGTGAAACAGAGATACTTCAGATGGCAGCCAAGCATGAGCTAGGAAGCATTGCAGTGTCTTTAATGCAAAGAAAGAAGCAGATGCTCAGAAATAGACCCTAAGGTTGTATTTAGACAGGGAGAAAAACCCAGTATTGTTTAGGGGTAAGGATTGTGAGGTTGAAGCAGACCAATCTGTGTAATCTCAGCTCATTTAACAGTCAATAAGTATATTTTTTTTTCTTTTGACACTTTGGCCAAGAGTGTTGACTACCCTGCTTTAAAAAAGGACTGTGATCTGTCATGGAAATAACGTATTCATTATTTGTCTGGATACCCTCATTTCACATTTTTTGCTGAAATTAAAAAAAAAATAAAAAAAATCTTCAGAAACTGTTGTTATTCTGGCTGAGTTTCCCTGAGTAATTCCGTTCCCACTTGGAGATTAACAATAAAAATTCCCTCAGCTCTCTCTGGGTTGTCATTAAATGTTGCCTGAAAATACCACAGTGCTATTCTATCCATTCTTCCTGCCCTCAAGGTATCAACCAATATCACTGACCAGAAATAGCCCCACAGATGGTATAATATGAGAATTTATATTCCAAGGCTGAAAAAGAGTCATGGCACAGTGTCTGTTGTGGTTCAGTGCAGTGGTTGAATAATAGTTAGCTTAATTTCATGTGAATACCCTACCTGTTGAGTGCATCAGCTGTGAAACCAAAGGCATGAACCAGAAGCGTCATTGCATTAGATTGTAAAACATAGAGCATGCCACAAGCAGTTAAATAGAAGAGAGAACCTGCTCCTTAATATTTTTTTTCACCAGAAAACCAGAGTCTGGCCATGTAATGCCACTGAGTTGTACAAAGTAACCTCCTGATTCAATCTTATCAGACCACTCTGGCTTGCAGAGCTACTGGACAGCCAATTCCAACTTTTAGAGTATGTAATGGAAAACTGGCAATGCAAAAGTTGCAAAGGTGGGTCCTTTTGTATCCAATGGATTTCAAAAGAGGGATGGTTTGAGGAACAACAGCTTGGATGCTTTTCCTAATATTGTGCAATTTTTGTTACACAAACACAAATTTTTTGCTTTCAGTCACAATTCAGAGCTGATGTGAAAAGTATGTAGGTCTTGGTGTGGATAAAAGGCCCATGCAAGTGTCCAGCAGACAGCCACTGATGTTACTTTGTTTACCTTCTGGAAACTGCACATTTCATTTTGATAGAACATTTATCTGAACAGCAATCACAGGTTGAGCTGTTGCTTTGAGATTTGAATTGTACTAACACAGAATAGGCTACAAAAAGCTGAAAATTACTACAGAGGTGCTGTGAAAAAGATGAGATTGTTGGATGGGTCCCATTTGACACAGGGAAAAGTGGTCACATATGGTGTGAAATCACATGGTTACAATTGCAAGGACTTCAGAAAGGGGCAGCACTCAAGAGAGATTTGTACTTTCTCATTCTTGCTATTTTTTGGGGGTTTTTTTTGGTGGGGTTATTTTGTGAAAAGAAGGAGGGTTGAGTAGTTTGCCATATGGAAGGCTGCTGTTACTTCAGAACAGAATACAACAGCAATTTCTATAGTGCTAGGACCTGTCAGATACTCTGACAGAGTCAGGAAGGGCACTATCCTTGAAAAGAAAAGAAATAACTTAGAAAAGAAACATGGTTCAATTATAGGACCAACACAAAACAATTTTGAATATATTATTGACGTCTGGACTTTTCAGTCTGGTATGCAGTAGGAGATTAAATATAAAGTCATCCTAGTAGTAGTGTTCCATCCAAATACTGCACTACCAGAGAATGTGTTCTTCACTGTCTCCTCCTTCACAGATTGTCTCATACCAGTCATTTCCATTTCCTGCCCTGTAACACAGTTGTCATGCTGCAGCTCCGTGTAAGAAATTAAAAATATTCAATCAAACAATCACTGTTACATATTATACCACAAGTATGTACTTCTGCTGTCCTCTGAGTTTACCCTAGATTTACCTAGAGTTTACCTTGTCCTAGATTGTCCTAGAGTTTAGCTTCTATTTTATGCAGGCAAATTCAAAGGAAGATTTTCTCCCAGAGTAACTCTCATAATTTATATGCAGCATATATTATGGACAAAACTAAATCCTAATATTTTCCTCTAAAAATCATGAAAAGAAGATGACTGTTTGGATCAAATAGTAGCACACTATATAATTTATCCAAATTACTTTAATCACTGAGGTCCACATATAATCTTTTATAAATTAGTACAGAATAATTAATGTAATTTAAACACTGACAGGAAATCTATGCTTGCTTGCTCTTCTTTTCGTTACTTGAATGTTAATACTGGAAAATAATTCCAAAAACATGAACAGTTTGTTGACTTTGAAGTATTTTTTTAATACTGCAAAGAGGAGACAACTACATGTAATTAAACGATGTGGAGCATAAAAGACCAAAAGGGTAAGATTGGATGAACCAGACTAGATCTTTTTGTTAATGGGTTGCATTTGTTTGCTCCTTAGGGCAGGAAATACCCTGCTTTTATAATTGAATGTGTCCAGTGAAGATATTCTAGGCCTAAATATACCTTTAAGGCAGTACAGAAGAATATGCATGTTTTTCAGAACTTGAAAATTATTTCACTGAATTATGCATTGGCTAATTAACTTGTGATTCTTAAAAAAGACGTAAGAATGGCATAGAAATTTTTCGCATTACACATCAAAAAGAGAGAAGATTAATGTTTGATATTGCCCAGACCCACTTTCACTGAAATTCAAGAACAGAAATCTGACCTGGCTTTGGTTAGCCAGAAGGAGAACATTATTGGCAGTCTGATCTTCCCTGAGTGAGAAATATAGCAGAAAGAAACATGTTTTATAGATCAGAGATGTCAGGAGCTGAAGCAAGTAATCATCAGATGTTTCTGATGCAAAACTATTTACACAGCAAAATTATAAAACACAGAAAACTATCTACAGTGTCTTGCAAGACAAGTCACTGTAACTTTTGGAGATTTGTGTATGGATGTATTTGTGTATGGGCATGCACAGCACGTGTATATAGACATCACAGCTGGCTCACAGATGGGATTAGAAATATGCACTGAGAAAGAGACACAGTATGACAAATGCACTGTTTGCTACAAGTATTTCCTTGCTCCATTCCATGACATATTAGTTATGCAAAGAAGGTCCTTGGTTTTTCTAGGAAAGACTGCTGTCAGAAACAGCAAGTAGCCAAAAACTGCTTTTTTGAGTCAGTTTAATTTTATTACCAACTGTAAATAGAAACACTTCTAGACTAGTTTTCTCAGATGCAGCCAATGCTACTTTAAAATTAGTGAAAGGATGAATAACAGAGATCAGACAAACTGTAAGATGGAACAGTTGACTTATGAGTTACCCTGTCATCTAGCTTTTATTAACAATTCCCTGACTAATAAAAAGAGGAAGATCTCAAGTACTGCACAAACTCCCAGTATGCAGCAGTTTTAAAGCACACAAATCTCACCTGCTCTATCTTGGTATCCAACCCAAGTTTATAGCTGTCTTCATAGATAAATTGATGCTTTATAAAAATTCATACTTCAAGGGCTCTGATTTTTTTTGTCATTTAGCTGGAGTTTTTCCTATTAAAATTGAGTTCTGGGAACTCAGTATTTTGTGAAACAGCTGATATGATTTCAATTTAATTGAGCCAGTCTAACCAAAATACATTCTTAACCATTTATCTGGCCAGAGTGTTATGACTACCAAGTGCTTAAAATGACCTTTCCTTTGCTTAATTCCTTGGCTATTATAATAGCCATTTATTTAACAAACTTTCTTTCCTGAGTGAGTACATGGTACAGTTTTCCCTACAGTTTCATAGTTGGAGATGTCACAGTTTCCCATGTACTTTCACACTTTTGATGTGACTCACATCTCTTCATGCAGCAGGACTATGCTCACATGAAAGAAATGTTTTGGTCCTCAGGAACAAATATATTTATTAGCAGCAAGACATCCCAGGTCAAAACTCCTTATTTTAATCAACAGCAATGAACATAAAGGGTGCAAGTTTGTCCAATTATTTGACTATGTGAAGAAACAAACCACCAATGCTTCTTGCACAAAAAGTGCAGAGAAACAGCTCCATATTTGTTCTACTTTTGCCTCCAGCAAATTGTGTGATTCTAATAATGAAGCTATTGTCCCTTCCCTCTGAAATACTCTCAGAACTCTCAAGTCTTTGAGATATGCATCTTCTGGCTCTTTACCATAGGAAAATCTCAGTCTATGGCTAATAGGGACTGGGAGTTTGGGCATTTCTTTTCTTACCTTACCTTTAGCAAGGCAGCAACAATCTCTGCCCACAGCTGACCAAAAAAGAAGGGAAAATTCAGTTATCCAATGCACAAAACAGCCAAGTCAAAAGGCATTGAAAGTACATTGCAATACTTGCATCACACTTCTTCAATGTTCCACTGATGTAATTCCATAGCAATGTAATTTACTTTGCAGAATACATCTGGAGCTACTACAGAACACAGGTATGTCCTAGAACATTGTGATGGTCTCATGGGTTTAGAGATGGGTGGTAACTCAATTAGAAATGAATAATGATCTCTTCTGAAGGTATCTCTCCTTTTCTTATTTTCTTAAAAGGAAATGTACAGTAAACTTATTTATTTTCCTTTTTCTTTGCCAACCCGACAACTTTCAGCAAATGGTTCCATGCAAAAACAGTAGTCTGAATGTTTGAAAACTGTTTCCTCATCAGTTGAAAAAAATGTCATAACAGAAGGCAGTGTTGCTGGATATACTGGAGCCTTCTTTATATGTTTCTAGATGAAAATGCTTTTTTTTTTAAACATCATACAAATAGGAAATTTCAGCTTCAATTGCTGAAGTACAGCAAAGTTTTATACAACTATAAAGCAGGATGCCACAGAGGTAAAAGTTATTTTTAAAAGGTAGTGTTTCCAGTCAGCTGATAAAGTTCTAATCTTCAGGTCACTATCTGAAAGTCATTGCTATGAATCAAATGAGTTCAAATCAAAAATAAAGCATGGAAAGAGAGATGCAAAAGCTATGTCATCTTTGAATACCCTCTTTAACATTAAATAAAACCAAGAACTGAGGGGCATAGAGGAGAAAAATCCCCAACAAACTGTGTGAAAAGAGGAAGAGAAGGAACTACATTACCGCAGCTTAATCCTTGTGACCACTCAAATGCTCATGTTTTGTAAAATTAATCCAAAAGTTTCTCTCTCTTGCTGAACACCTATAACAATGCAGATGAAAATTAAAAAAAAAAAAAAAAAAGGGAAAATTATTGAAGAGTTAATGACACAAGAATATAAAAATCACTGCATTGTTTTTTTCATCACTTCTCACAGTGTTGAAAGAAGAACCAGACACTGACTTAAACAAACTCTTAACTTCTGGTGGGTACATATATGTTGCCAGCAACTCTGAATATAGGAGTGAAAAATTATTGAAATTAATCTTTATTTAAATTTGGAAATGTGGCTATCTAGTCTCAACTGCAGTAATGCTGTTCTGCATTTCTCAACACATTATGTGATTTCCAATGATTCTCACAAAAGTGTCCACCAGGAACTTCCTGCAGCTACAGCGGCCTAAAGTGCCATGAACAGAAGAGAGTTTAACACTAGATGGCAATATGTTTTTGCAAAATATTTATCCGAGGTTCCTGCAGATAAAGGCAAATATTCTTTAAGCTATTGTAATATTTCTTGTTTCTCATGTATGTTTAGACATACAGGTTTGCACTAAAATTAACCTTTATTTCATGCTATTGTATTTTTCTCATTGTTTGCTTTAAATTAAGTTTGGACAATACTCTGATCCAGGCAGAAGTGATTCACAACTTAACTGAAAATATGTTAAAAAATTATTCACTATTCAGTGTGTGATAAACATGTGAAGAATCACATGTGAAATGTTGACCAAATTTCTCCTGCTTGGCAAACTGTAAATCAAAAGGAAGTCCTGTTTTGTGGGCTACCATCTTCCTTCTACTGATGTAAATCAGAACATGAACCTAACCCTGTACCTTTTAAACACAGGATTGCTTTGGATAGCAGTTTTCCCATTACCTGAAGCATTAAACTTGCTCATCCACTTTTTGCTCTCACCTAATCAAATAGCTTCCACCAAAGCCCAAGTCTGTTATGGCATTGGAACAGCCTGGATTGTGCTACAGTTATCCAATGTACTTTGGGTTAAAAAATCAAAGCATTCTGTACTTTGTGTAGGGCTTTTCCCAATTCCTTGGAAAGCTCAGCATGCTATAAATCAAATCAATAAATACACTTTGTAAAGCTAAACCCACATAATAATTAACAACTAAGTTGCTAAATAATAAGTAGCTTGGTTGTTGCCAAGAATAATCAGTATTTGAAGGTAACAATCTGTCTCAGCAGTGGCAGCAGCTCAGAAAGACCTTGGTCAATTCCCTGCATTATTTTAGGTGTATCTTCCTTTTACTGGCACTTCTTTTTCTAAAAAATTTGGTTTCTTGAAGCTATTACCACTCCCACACACAACCTATTCTCTCTTCCCTGTCCCAAAACAAAACAACAGGGTGATTGCCAGTAGCATTTTGTCTGTTCTCCATTGTAGTTATTGCCCTCTGGATAGTTTGTCCCATATTTATGTAAAAGGCAATTTTATGCCTTTTGTGCTCTTTATAGATGTGCCTTTGAAGACAAATATGGACAACACAAGATTATAGTAGGTGAGAAAATGGGATATTATTCAAGGTACTTTGTTGAGGCCCGATCGAGATACCTGACAGAACAAACTAATTTTTACTTTTAAATTAAAGGAAAGTTTCAAAATTTCTATTACCCTGATATGCAGTATTTACTTCAGTTTGATTTAAAGTTATAGAAACTGGATATATGACCTAAAGAGAAAATATACAGTTTGTTTCTAGCAGTCATATTGACAGTGAATGCAAATTTCCTTGGAAATGCCAAGGAGAGCGGCTTTGAATCACACCACCACCAGCCACTCTAGTCAGTATTAACAAACACATTGTAGTGACATAAAAGCACAGTCATCCATTTTAACAGTTCTGACAGTTTCATTCAGAAAGCTTCTATGGCAATATTTAAATAAATCACCAGCCTCTCAAGAAAACATCTGATTGAAAAAGCTTTGAAATGTGCCATGAAAGCATGCCTATGTCCTAGCATAAAATGCTTTACTGGTTTAAATGAAGAAGAGCAAATATAACCAAAACCTCCAAGAATGCAAAGACCCTGAAAGATGATAACAGTACAAGAACAGAACAGAAATGAGGAGGGGGACGAATTAGATCTGAAGGAACAGCTAATTTATTAAGTCTTCACTATTAATTCAGGATTTAAGTATCAAAAAGTAAATTATTCACAGGGGTCAAGGACGCTGATTACCAGAAAGAGACAATATTTATGAGAAATTTTTGGCTTATACTTTACCTCAGCTGGTATATTTATAAAGGACTTTTTGGTTTTTATTCCAATAGAAATAAAAAAAGTTATTGAGAGAACATTTACTCCCTTCCACATATTTGCATTTCAAATCTTGCAGCATTGTGCTAGGGCATGATCAGAAATCATTCCAGCTGAGTAGAACAATTGCTTTAATCATAGTTATTGTAGCCTCTCTTGAACTTAAATATAGTTATTAAAATTTAAAGAAAGCAGCAACCCAAACCCCTCAGGTATTCTAAGGTGCACAAGGACAATAGCTTGATGCTTGATTACACACAGGGAGGTTGTTTGGACTGATGTCAGCACCTGCATGAAACACTTGTGCTTTGTGCCCAAGCTAGACAGCTGTGGCAGTGGCTGTCTGGAACAAAATGTTCTTTCAGAACAAGTAATATTTAATCTCTCATTGTCTAAACAACATGTTCCTGCTGGTCCATACAACTCATTAGCAAGTCTAAATAACTAGATAGTGTCAGCGATGTATAGGCCTCCATCTCCTAGCCATTTGCTACAACCCTTACTTCTTTCCTGCAGTGGCAGTCTGGTTATGGGACACAGCCATCCATTACGCTCAAGTAAGATTACTTGAATTTGTTCACAGAATTTGGGGAAAAAAAAAAAGAATGATGGAATTTTGCACTGCACAAAATTCAGGTTTGTGACTCACTGGGGGCCCAAGACCAAAGCAAGAACCAGCACTCTGTGGAACACTGCCAGCTAAACCCCTTTGTTCTGGTATTATAACACAACTACTAAACTGCATCTTAATTGGCAACTCCTTCATGTCACTGTATTGTATGAACAAAAGTTGATGAGTCATAGAGAACTGGAGAGAAAGTGCTCACATTTGAGAGGAGTGAGTTTTACAATTCAGCAAAACTCCAGATGAAGGCTCTGAGAACATCATTACTGGAAGAACAGCTGTGTAAACACAAAGGAAAATATATCTGGAATAAGTTCATCAGCTTCTCAACAGTTACTCTATATATGCATCAGTGTAATCGAGAAGAAGCTGGCCACTGTGCAAAACAAGTATTTTGTCTTAGATGACATCAAGAGTGCAGCTTTGAACCCAAAAAGAAGGCAATTGCCTAGAACACTGAATGGCCTGAGAACAACCACAGCTGTATTTCTTACAAGTCCAACATTGACTGCTATCTCCTCTTTTCTGTGGCAATTCAAGGAAGGATCAGAGAATATGGGGTAATAAGTGATGTATTCTGCCAGCAGTAACAAGGACATCATGCATAGTTCTTAAGATCCCCAGGCACCAGTGAAGACCACTTTATTTGCAGGACAAAGGTACTCCATTTTGCTCATAACAAGTCTCATAACTCAACTCCTCAAAGGAGCTCGACATGCTTCTAACTCAGTCTAAAAATGTGCAGAAAAGAGTATTATTGAATGAGTATTCTTGCATGCCAACACTGAAATCATTAACAGAAAATGTGTGTCTGATTGGGGCAGAATTCATGTCGAGGCTGGGGTAGCGTGTGCCTGAGGCAAGGCATGGTGACATGACATGTCTTTGTTTTCCAAGCACAAAGGACCGAAGAAGTCTATGTAAGCGTTAGCCAAATAAAGGCAGCTGATTCCTATCTATTTACCTATTAAGCCAGTGGCTTGGAGCTGGATTTATTTTGTTGTTCTTACTGTTAGTTTATTGCAACTCAAGAAACTATAACATCACTTGTCTTCATCATTTAACCAAAGCATGTAAGCAGAAGAAAAAGAGGTAAACCAGAGCAAACCTTGGTCTCTCTTGACAACATATAGCCTCGATCTGACTGTAGCTAAGAAAAGAAGATGAGGAAAAGTCATGGAAGGGAACATGGACATCAAAACTGGTCAGAAGCCACAGAATCATGACTTAAACACCAGCACTGGAATCACAGTCCCACCTAAGGGGTTATTTCAGGCAGGGTTAAGAAGGAGAGGCAGGGTGGGCAGGTTGAAATCCTCCTCCACCTGCCTCTTTCTCCCCACACTAATTCTACACCAGAGTCTTCTTCTAACACAGTTATCACTGTATCTTCAACCAATTCTGAACCTTCTCCACTGTCAATTGAAGAAGTAGCATCTCAAACTGCAAGTCCAATCCTACCCTGTATTTACCTACCAAGCAGATTTAACCCTACACTTAAAAGTGGGGGGAGGGGCTGCACATCACAGCCTGGAAAGGATTCTTTATATTGTAATTTGGGGGTAGAGGGTCAAATTTTGTTCTTTGGATTAATAAGCTTTCAAATACAATACTAGCAGTTAAACCATGAAACAATTTTAATGCACTGGAGCATTGTTAATGAACATTTGCATTCCCTCAACAATGTCAAAGATCCAGCAGCATCTCTTAACACAGTCTTCAGATATCACAGTACAGAACACAACACAAAGCTGTACTTTTACTTGCTTAGTAATATTATATTTATCATGATCCCATAAATATCAGGTTTATTGGTAAGATAAAGGCATGTGATCTACACCTCATATATTATCCTTTGTACACCCAAAGAAGTGAGAGCGGTACAGTTATTACCTTATCATATCATATTTATCATTATCTTCTCCTCTTCCACCTTCAGCTGTTGCTTTAACACAGCAAGCATATTAAAGAAGCAGTTACCTTGACTTTGGAACAGCTAGAGTTTACACATCTCTCACCATGGCACAGCATAGTGTTTCATTCTCTCTTTGTGACCCTCAACACGAAAAGAATTAATCAATATGGTGTATTTAAAAACAATTCCATCCCTTTACATGTCTCTTCTCACAGAATTAGAAGAATCAAGATCAGATCAAAGGAAATAATTATCAGCTTTAACACTAATATTTTTTCACATTTTGTTAATATTTTTACACCGATATTTACATTAATATTTTGTTATCCTCAGTAATTTTACCTTCCTAGTTACAGAAGTCACACATAAAGTGTGAGACAATGGATGCTTGAAAAGACTAAAGTTAAATATTTCTGTGCCTCTTGTAGATCTACAGTTCCTCCCTGACATATCTACAGTATATGAAGAACCTAAATGAAGCCTTGCAATTCTGAGAACTTGCCTATTTTTTCTGAGTTGGTCTATTTAAAAATCTTGTCTTGCAGAGTAGTGTATTTTAGGAGTAGTGTCTGATGCCATGTTCTCTAGAAACAGCAAAACACAGACTCTTCTGAGAAATATTCGAGATATGATATGTACAGGCTGTGAATAGCTTTAATCAGTTGACCCATATGTCCCCCCAGGTGCCTCCAAATAAAAAAAAAATAAATAAAATTCTTTCTCAATAAATGTGGGTAACTTCCCATCACATTTTTCTATTTATAAATCTCTTAAAATTGTCAGAGATAAAAGCAGAAATGAAAGTATGACCTTAGGATGTTTCACAAAAAATTTCTTTATCTCTGACAGATGTGAAAGATACAAAATTGTTACCTCAGGAAGGAGAACTGATCCCCCTAGAGAAGTCAATATCTAATAATCACATGAAAAGTTTTATGTACCTTAAACTAGTTGGGGATTATATAACCTTTTTGGTTATATAATAAGCAACATAATATTTTTTTCAGTAATTTCTTTCAAATCCTTACAGAGAGCTTTTGATGACTAAGAAATCCCCTCAATTTTAACATACTAACAGGACTTTCATTAACACATGAATGGGACTGAACATAAATCAATAACTTGCAAGATCAATCCTGTCTCTCGCAACAGTGTCTCTGGGCTAGATTTTTTTTCTTATTTAAAATATACTGGGGAAATGACAGTAACAACTCTTGATATATGCACACTATAACAATGAGAGTGTTTGCAACAAGAGAAATTTGAAAATTTAAAATTTAACTAACTGTATGAAATTCTGGGGGATACTTCTAGAAAACAGTGTCACATACTTTGCCACTAGAGACAGTCAATTTACTAAAGAGATTAAAAGTTCATTCATATATCTTTATATTTTTTGTAATGAATTTAGGCTTATTCCTGTTCCTTTGCAACAAAACCTTCTGTTGCTTATTCCTCCTACAATCCACAGCCAAATCCAGAGAAAATCCAGAGATACTTTATAAAAGGTCATTTGTTAGCACTGCTCCTTCTTGCCTTCTAGTACAAAGTGTTCAGAGAAGACTGTGAGCACGAGGAATGCAGATGGTTTAATAGCTTTTTTGCATGCAGTAAGATACCCACAGCATTTTCATATTTGAGAAGGCTGACTGATCCATACTAAATCCTAGTTAAATAATAGAAGGAAACCTCTAGCTCTTTATATTCACCTGCCTTGCCAGGGGCAGGAATTAGAGGGCTCAGAGATTTCACTCCATGCTTTTCATGGGACATGGAAATTGAGTACAAATGAGAAATACACTTTTCATTTCATGAGTTCCCTGAAAAACACTAACCCTAGAAGGGGAGAGAGGCAACTTCACAGCCCACTCTCAGATTTCACTGAGCACAACTGACTCCACCCCTCTTAGCCATATATCTACTGTATCACCACATCAGCCAGGGACCTTGGTGTGCAAAATAGCTGAAAGCTGCCCTCAGGATGAGAGCAAGGCAGCTGGTCTGTGGAATTTGGAGTCTGTGCTTCCTGTTCTGTCTTTTCTGCATCTTTCTTCACCAAACAACAGCTAAAAGAAAACTGAAGTTTGTGTCCCTAGTAAGTATGGGAAAATGAAATTTCTTCAAAACCTCTCACTTACTACTCTTTTTGTACTGTAGGGTAGGAAGGAGGGGGAACCTTTTCAAATATTTAAATGTTTCCTCCATATTCAAAATTCATTATTGCATTGTCAAAAAAAAAAAAAATCTCAATTTTAAGTAAGATTTTATAATTTTGTCTCCTTTGTGCACTGCTAGATGAAGTTACTTTCTGGATGTATACAGAATACTTATTTTATTAACCCTTTTTACCATGGAAGAGTTTGCACTTTTCCAGTGGTTTCAGTGGACTAACATGCAAAGTAAATTTCAGTATATGAAACTCAATGACATTGAACAAGCAGCATAGAAACCAGCACTGTGAAGTTAATGTTATTTGCAATGATTATGATGTACTATTTCTTTGCAGGAAGCTTGAATCTTATTCTGAACATTACACACACAAATAAATCATTTATATAATTTTTTCCCTGCAGTTTTTGATTTAATTTCTCCCTGTTTAGATTAAGAAATTACAATTTCTTAATTTCTAGTGTTAAAATTTAGAATCATATGGCTCATATCTACAGTAGTTATGCTGCAAAGCATACAAAGCAAAGAATTCATCAGATGAATGAAAAAATCCAATGTATCTGTATAAATAATTCTTTTATGTAAAGAAGTTCAATGTTTTCAGAGTAACACTTTAGCCTGTATTTACATATTAGATAACATTTCTATCACCTCTTGTAATGAAAAAGCCAACATATGACTTTTTAAGGCTAATTTCTGCCAAATAAGAGAACTTCACAGGAGTTCACAGAACTGTCACTTTGTGTAATACTTTTGGGTTTTCCCCTTTTAATTCCAACTTAGTTATACCACAATACTAATGTTCAAATATATCTGCAAAATTACTTACATGCTTCTTTTTGTTTTCTGTTGATTTAATTTTATGGTCTATACCTTCTAAGATACATAAAATCTCTTCAAAATATAATAGGGTATCCTGTAGTTTTTATAACTTGCAAAAATTTATTTGAGCTAATTTATTCTCAAATGCCAAAAAAACCCAGTTATATTTGTCTAAATAAATTAAACAGGAAATGTTGCTATCTAGATTTAAGGCAAGCATTATTAATATACTTAGCATCTGTCAGATACAGCACTCACTGTCATAGCATATTGCTTGTGACTACACTAATTAGTTATAATTACCACAAAAATTACCAGTAACACAAAAGCAATTTCATATGTTTTATCAGGTATTTCGCCATGGTGATCATACCCCACAGGAGTTTTTCCCAACTGATAAGCACAAAGAAATTGCAAGACAACAGGGATATGGCCAACTTACCAAGGTGAGTTTGTTTACCTGGGCCAAGAACTGAAATATTGGAAGATGTTGTGTTGATGTTTGGGGGTTGGATCTTTGCTTTTGCTTGAAGAAAGCCTTTATTAAGTTGCCACTTAAGGACAGCCAAGGAACTTATAAGGAAACTACAGCAATAGCACTCACTAATTTTTGATGAAACTGAGTCAGCCTGTTCTGGTCCAGTGTCAGCAGAGCTTTTTGACTGCAGACTAGGATCTTCCAGTCTGGGAGGAGCAGGCACTGGTGACCATCTCAGCTCACCTGAAACCATACAGGAAGCTTTAACCACCAGTAGCAGAAGGTGGTGGAAGTGCTTACAGACACAATCCTACCTCAATCTCTGCTGAATAGGAGTGCTTCCTTACACATAAACTCTTAAGATCAATACAAGCAGAAACTTTTCTTATGTTTCCAAGAAAGTTGACTTAAAACTCAGCTATTTTAGTGCAGGCATTTGTGGAATCAGCTGTTGGTGGTAATAACCAGAAGCAGCTGAAGCAACCACAGATATTGTATCTGACAGATGCTGTTCCTGCCTTGACTGTAACTTCTATTAGCTGCCACCTCTCACAAATGAAGCCACAGGTGAACTGTACTATCAGACTGAAAGGCAATATTTGGACACTGGGTGGTTTTTCCCCTCCCACTGGCAGGACCCACTATGTCTGTGTGCTTGTGCTTCATTCCTTTTTCTCCAGTTATGTTACTTGGATGGGAAAAGCTTCCAGTTATTTGCTCAGCACTCAGAACCAGGCACTCAGAAGTAGCTTAGAAGTGTCAGAAGTCTGGTTGTCCCAGACAAATGGTTACAGTCCACATGGAGGCAGCTGTGAGGTGTGTCTCTCTGTTAGGACCTTATGTGCAGTGGGTCTCTTTCTTAAAAGAACTTGCCAGGTCTCCACCAAAATCAGAATAGAATAAACTGCCTGAGGGGTTCCTCTTCCCCACTGCTCTTAGGAGGCAAAACTGGTCTCCAAAGCAAAATCAGGCCTGTTTCTGCTTATGTCAATTCCCTTGAAGAAATAGGAGTAACAGAGCAGCTTCCCAACTCAGCTATGACTCAATCACTCCATATAAATGCTATGCAAGTTCAGCAATCCATGCCAGTTTGCTCCAAGGCATAGAAGACTTCAAGACCCAGGAGTCAGGACTTAAGAACATGCATGGTAGGCAAGTTGGGGCAGAAGCCTAAACCACACATATACCCTAGGAAACTGGATGCACAATTCCAGCAAGAGAAAGAGGAGATCACATGCACACACAGTGGGTCCTGAGTAACTCCTAGCTGACTTGGCTTTGAGCAGGAGTTGGACTAGAGACTTCCTGAGGCCCCTTTCAGTCTGAATTATCCCCTGATCCCACAGCTTAGAAAATTGCTTTAGGAACAATGAGTAATCACTGTACTTGAGATCCCAGTGTACAGTAATGGTTACATGAGCAAAGTGGAATATGTTTAAATTTAGGCCAGGAAACACCTGGTACAAGTTAAAAGATGGCAATATACAGACTATTAGAGGGACGCTGCATGTGATTGAGATGGAGTCACTACCCTGAGGGGTGTTTAAGGAAAGAGTGGAAATGGTACCTAATTCCATGGCCTCGTTGATATGGTAGCGTTAGGTAATAAGTTGGACTCAATTATCTCAGAGGTCATTTTCAACCTAACTGATTTAGTGATTCAGTGATTCACATGTCACTGACAATGTGAGTATTCACAAAATTATGTAGGTAAGTTGAAAGATCTTCAGCTACAAGCTACGAAAATGTTGGGACTGGAAAAACTTATTTTGCTTTGAGAGTAGAGAATTGTCATCAGTTTAACACAGAGCTAATATGAATTGATTCAGTTTTATGGATTATTATTTAACCATTAATGAGATCTGTGATGGTGAATGTTATTCGAAAGTGTAACAAGATTCAGTGACTGAAAGTTGGGAACATAGTCAGGTGTGAATCAAAAATCAAATCTTTCAAACTATTGATACAAATTAGCTATTGCAGCAAAATGCCCTAAGGCTTGAAGGACTTTTACTTTGAGACTTCTGTTCTGAAAAACTAGATCTTTCCCAGGCTAAAACTGTAGCCCCCATAAGGAGTCACTGGTAATACTCCATGAGATTCATATCCTGGATGTGTCTCCATGGACAGGTGGCTGTTCTGTCTGCACTCCCAGTTAATCAGCTCTGAGACAGCAATAGAGTAGAAAGTAGACAGATGGTGTTGGAACATCTCTATGCCTGCTTTAAGTCTCACTAGCTCAGATAAACATACACATAGCTTGCCATCAAGCAGAATACAAAACTGCATCCACCAGGAGTCATATCTAACATTATCCAATACCATACATGCAGCAACTTCAATACTTTTTTCCTTGTGTCTTCTTTCCTAATTCAATTTGAAAAAGAAAAAAAAGGTCTTTATTAAAATAGTATCAAATATTATTGCATTATTTTTTGGTTGTAGAAATGGATGCATAGCACATTTCTTTAGCCTCTTATGCTCTTGTGTTACTTCTACAGCTTGGCATACAACAACAATATGAGCTTGGCCAGTACATGCGGAGGAGATACTCTCATTTCCTGAGCGTTGTATACAAGCAGTGTGAGGCAAGTACTGGATCTGGGCAGGAAGATGTCTTTCATGGTTGTTAATGGGACTTCCTGGATGTGTAAGAGTCTAAACCTGGTGCAGTTGGAGTAAATTTAATATCAATTGAAGTTAATGTCATTCCAAAGAATCCCTGAAACTGTAGTTCAGTTTTTTCCTGATGGTTAACTGAAAACTACATGAAAGGCCTTTCAGGCTCCCTATCAGGTTCAGCTCCCTCACTGCTGTATGGGAAATCATCTATGCCAAATACCTCCAATGCTCCACTTCCACATGGAATGCAGATACAACTCAGTTCTCATTTAGGTTTCAGCTTTTCAGTACACATATGATGTCCCAAAACCTAGAGGGTCAAATAGAGTCAATCTCATGCTGTCTACTAGGATTTCTAAGATGTTACCCTGCTGCAGCTCAGTTGCCCAACAAAATTTTATTCCAGCTGTAGTCTTTCTCCCTCCTCCTTCTTTCTCATAATCCTTCATGCCACTCTGTTTTAATGACAACTTCCCCAGTACCAGCCCCTTTTTTTCCTACCAAGAAGACAATAAAGTAAACTTAATGAAAGAAATTACTATCCAAAATGTCTTTTTCTTTTTCTTTTTCTTTTTCTTTTTCTTTTTCTTTTTCTTTTTCTTTTTCTTTTTCTTTTTCTTTTTCTTTTTCTTTTCTTTTTCTTTTTCTTCCTTCAGGTTTATGTTCAAAGCACTGACTGTGATCACACACTTATGAGTGCTCAGGCAAGTCTTGCCGGACTGTACCCACCAACACAGGATCAGATTTGGAACCCCAGAATCCTTTGGCAGCCAATTCCAGTTCACACAATGCCACTGTCACAGGACAATGTGAGTATAAACTAGGGGCATCTGCTTCCCCTTGATCATTACTAAAGTGCATAGGATATGAGATGAAGGTGCAGCAAAAGGTGCATGATAAAGGTAATGAAAAGATCATTGCTACAAGCATCGTGTAGAAAGGCCTAATAAGCTGAATAGAAGTGTTGGCAAGTATTTCCACAGGAATGGACAGGAACATGATCTTAACAAAAGAGGAAGGAAAATGGGAGTACTGGGTATAGAGAAAAAGAGTTAATTTATAAGGTGCGTAAATCACTGTAGAAGTAGATTAGTCCTAAATTTAACGCAAACATGACTTTCTTTGTGTGAGAAGAGAAAACATACTTAATCTCACTGGTGCTTCAGTGTTGCTTAGTCCACAGCCACAGAAAAGACAAAGAGTCATTCTGAGACTTACATTATGGTGAGAATTGAGTTACAGGATTATTTTTCATGCACTTTGCAGGTCAATGCATGTACTCCAAGGATTGGTGAGAAAAGTAAAAGGGGAAAGAAAGGAGGACTCAGAGCTTTAAGCATGAGTTCATAGGGCAATGTATTTTTTCATATGCCTTCCTTCAGCTCCTCACTTTGGAGTTGTAAGGAATCCTGTGGATAGCAGCTCTGTAGCCTGCATATACTTGTCCTATATAGGAAAGCTGTGCAGCTGACTGGAGCTGGAATCTTCTGTGTGTGGAAAATCTGTGATAAATGTTAAGATCAGGAGTGTGCAACAGGAGTCTCGGTTTGTGAGAGCAGGTTTGCTCATGTGATGCAAGATAAATTGTGTGGGCTTTACAAGTCTGGATAGCACAGTCTGTGATGATAAGGGAATCACGTCAGATAGGTCATGGAGCAATGGTTCTCACCTCGGGGTGATGAGAGCATGAAGATGGAAGGTGTGGAGACATGTCTTCCTCTTCACACACACAGCCAAGCACAGTCAGGAGCTGCTTCTGACACTGTCACAGGTCCCCACCTGTGACATATCCCAGCAGACAGTCAAGAATACCTGGCCAAAATCAACACAGATGGCAAACTCAGCAAGCAGGTGCTGCACTTCATTCACATCTAGGGGAGCAAGTAAGTTTATTCAAACAAATCATAAAGCCATTAACACATGCACAATTTTCATACTTTTTTCAACTATTTGTGTTTTGACTTTATTTAACTTTACTAATTATACAGGCTAAAACTTAGACCACACGCATCCTACAACACAAAACATGTGCCCATCATTAATTGGTGAAATCATGCCTGTTCATTCACAAATACCTTCCTATCTTGTGGAATACATAGACTGTATTTCTAAAAAGATTGAGGAACTGCTGTGAAGCATTCCAAGCTAATTTCCCTTCAAATCTCTCAAGTTCTTTTCAAAGTTCTTTTAATATTGGGACTATATAGATTGAGCTACATTACTGGGAAAAGGACAAAAAAAGTACATTAGGGAAAAGCACTAATATCAGTGTCAAACTTAAAAATTTGTTTAACATTTAACACAGAAAATGAGAATAAACTCAATTTAACTAGCATATATAAATATTAATTAAATAACAAGTTCTGAAGTTATTCCAGTCATATGTAACCTTCATATATCTCAGATTAACGAAAGACAAAACCGAGTTACAGAAAGTTCACAAGTTTCTACAATTTAGCTGAACTAAATGAAGCTGTGTTAAATAGACTCAATACAGCTGAGTATGCACAAAGTCTCCTATTTCAGTCCAGCTGCTACTTTGTAATTTGTTGTAAAAATGCGATGGTGTGTTTAAAGAAAGACCGAACACAATGAATTAAATCATCCCTGGAGAAGCTAAGAACAAAGGAGTTCATGTGGGCTTGTCATAGTCTTCTGTCAAAGGACAAATTTCATCTTGTGTAAGTGAATCCTTTAACTTTGAACTACTGCAGCTATTACTCCTCTGAACGTTTAAAGATTATTTTGTATGTAGTCATCAGTATTACTCCTAGAGTCCTGAAGATGAATATCCTTGAAACTACGTTGCTAAATTATTTTTCAGCTTGTCCTAACTAGTGCAGCCAATCAGAACAGCAATTCTGCAAGGGTATATTGAATTGCAGAACAAGATGCACCTTGCCTAACTAGGATTTTGCAATTTTCTTTCCAGTTGCTATACATGCCTTTCTCACACTGCCCAAAATACAAGGAGCTTCTGAGAGAAACCTTTGCAACTAGAGATTTCCAAAGGCAATTCAAGCACTACAAGGTAAAGTATTTTCAGTTCTGGAAATCCAGTTAAAGTGTACCACTTCTTCAATATTATTATTTTTAAAACATATGGGTTTTAAAAATATCAGTTAATATGCTCCTTTCAGATCTCTAATCTTCGCAGTGGGTGTAGACAACATACCTAAAAAACAATTATAACATTACAGACCCAGCTGGACTGGGCTATTCCCAACAATTGAAAATGGCAAGTCACAGAAAAGATAAAATATTGACCTACTTGCAACAACTTAGTTTCTAGGAGACTAGACAAAACAAAAACTCAGATAAAATCAGTTTCAATGCCCCTTAAATTATTCCAGTAGCTCTCTCTGTTTACTCCCATGTAAAGCAACTCCTCTGACATCTCTGCCTATATAAATCTGCGAGTTCAGATTAATTTTCTCAGCTCAATTTCCAGAATTTCTACAACAGTCTCAGTGTTTTTCACAACTACCTATTCACGTTTCCCACCCAAAATCTTAATTTAGGTGTTCTCTTATGTTTTGTGGCTGTCTTCATATGGTATCCTTTCCTTTCTTTCTCCACCATGAAAACCTTTGCATGACTATATAACGACATGTTTATTCTGCTGCAACCTTCTTCTTCAAAAGTGTTATCAAAAGGACACTGCGAACCTCACCTGTTTTTCTATTATCTTTCACCACTGACCTCAATCATCCATTTGTGGCTCTGCATCTGGGTATTATATGCAAGTAATCACAATTCCCATTTCATCAAATATACATCATACGTCTCCTCCTGAGTACCACTATCAGAATAATTATCACACTTCCTTTAAGTACTTCTTGGATTTCTGCCAGACTTCTTCATATATCTGTGCTCCCTCTACTTCCTTCTAAACCTTTCCACCAAGCATAAACAATCACCATACTTCAAATCTGAACTAAAATCACCAACCTTGTCTAAATAAATAGGCCAAATTCTCTTACATCTAGGCAATGGTTCATTGCTTTAGTGCAAAGTGCAGACTGTCTTCTTTCTAAAAATTTCTATGTACTAGTATGGCAGTGTGTAGCAATCTTGTAAAAATGCCTTCAGTACTACAAGTTTGGTGTTTTCTTTGTATTCCAGCAATTTCTGAAGTTTCTAGCCACTCATACGGGATATCCATTGAAGAAGTTGACTAGTGAAAGGATTTGGAAGCTCTCTGACACTTTACAGTATGAGGTAAATAGAATCAAAGAGTCATTTAGGTTGAAAAATACCCTTAAGATCTTTGAGTCCAATAGAAATTCCTACCCTTCCTTCAACCTGGTATTTTTATTTGGTTTCATTTTTTACCGTAAGTCATAAAAAGATCACAGATCTATTCTTCAAAATTTTTTTAAACATAGACTATTTTCAGCTTCTTTCTCAGAAACACTCACTTAATGTCAAACTTACAACTGAAAATCCTGCAAACACTCTATGTGTGAGGCTGCTCTGGGTCATCCACCACTATAAGGAACACAAACTAGTGGACTTTCATATTCAAGATCCAGTCAGTGACTGCATAATAGAGAATTAGGCAAAAGCATACCTTTGGATAAAATTGTCTTGTAACTCCCCCAGACCCCACTAGGAGATACACAGGGATAAAAATATGTTGCTGGCAAAGAAACATAAGCATCCTTCCACAAAGATTTTATGCAAACTGTAAAAGCAACAGAAGCCATTATTTGTACATGGCCAGTAGTGGACGAGTATTTTCAGGAGTTAAGCAGCCATTGGAATGACACAAATTGCTATTTGTGCAAGTTTGGGTGCTTGTTCTAAGCAAAGGTATCACAAAAGAGCATGGATTGTATAACAAAAGGGGCATTATGGTGCCAAACTGGCATGGGCATCTGGGTTCCACAGTCTGGAAATATCGTGATTTGAAAAAATCCTAACTGCCTTTAATTTAGCAAGAAGTCCCACTTCAAAGTCTAGACTTACCTCAGCTGACACAAAATTGCAGAATCTTGTGTTAAAAAAGTCATTTTTGAAGGCATCTTTTGCTACCTTTGTGCATAACTATTTATAAACTTAAATATTAATGATAAATTGGTCACCAGTGTTGGGATATTAGTGACGGAGTTTTAAGGTGGATTTCAGAAGCAACATGTAATAATTTACATGGTGTGATATTAATGAATTTACCTTCATTCCTGCAGTTTTTGCAAAACTCCAACTTTGATCAAAGCAGACTTGATCAGAATGTTATCCAGGGCCTTAAGTTAAATGATATGTTAACATGTTGGGACATAATTTCAGTGAGGTTACCCTTCCATGTTTTCCAAATGCAGGACCACAACTTTCTATTTCAATTGTTAAATCATACCGACAGTCTGTCTAATTTGTCATCAGACAAATATGCAAAACCCACAGCTCCCATCAAAAATCTAGCTAAATGCTGGAATTTAAAAAAAAAAAAAAAAAGTAAAAAAATTAAATTGTGGTTTTCCTCCTAGTGTTACATTTGATGAGCCTTGGTCTTTGATACCACCGACTGAGGACTCTGAAGGTATCAGTTAAGACATCTGCCAGAAAAGCCTCTCTCATTTTTCAAGCATTCAGAGAGAGAGTGCTTACACAGTTTTTTAGTACAATTCATGAAACCACAGTAGCACACAGCTCTCTGTGTTTGTTACTTTCAGCTAAGTGTTATCTAACTTTGAGGTAACTTGGAGACTGAGGTGTTTGCCTTTCTTAAATAGGGTGCAACCATCCAATTCTTTCCCTAAGACATAAATCACACCTATTAAAAGAGAAATGGATAACATTGTGATCTGAGCTGGTTTAACCTAGCACGTTCTATTGTTTTCTTGTTTAAACAAACTCTTGAAGTAGTTGACGTTTTCCTTTGAGCTCACTTGTTACAGGAACACTCCTTTTGGTGAGCTCAGTCCAAAGGTTACATTGCTCTAAGGGAAAGTTACCAACCTTGTTTAAACAGGAATTCAGGGTAGTGCAAACCAGGAGTGTTGTGCATATCTTCCCTTCTCACAATTGTGATCACTAATATACCTTGGACTGCATCCCCAAGGAAAGACCAATCCATTCCACTTTAGCTTGAGGACTGTGACAGTATCTAATAGACCATAATAGGTACAAATTTCATTTATATCTCATCCTTATATATCTACCCCATACTTTGGTACATCCATACTACCGCTATACATATTCCTATTTGATCTCTGTATTTCTGTTACACCTGAAAGCTACCAGCCCTTAAAATACTGATATTTAAATGGGATTTGTTTCAGTAAAAATATATCCCAGCACATGACTGAAAAATCCATATAGTGATTTTTTTTCACCTTACAACAATACCAGTTGCTTTTTGCATAATTTTAGTATTATTAATAAGTATTCCTCTTCTTGTTGAAAACTGCCCTTCAAATTTCTTCCAAGCATTATGATGCTATAAATAGGAATTCTACAGCTGTCTAAATGCAAAATACAGTCATCGTTTTATTACAATGAGAAAATGTTACTGGAGTGAAACATTCAGAATTTGTTCTGAGAAGTATTTTGTGCCAGAATAAATAGCAGTTAGCAGTAGGAATCGGTAAGAAAATCACCATGTTTTCTTTCTTTACTGTAGGATATTAACAATTACACACTACCTGTTTGGGCTACTCATGGTGTCAGGACCAAGCTGATAAAGCTGTCAGAATTGTTATTGCAGGCGGAATTTGGGTTCCACAAACAAATACAAAAATCACGTTTGCAGGGAGGTAAGCTGAATTCTTACCCCATTTAAATTCTTACCCCATTTAAAACCAAAAGTAGGGTGGGAAAGACAAAAGGGTATATGACGAACAATGCTGCTGATTCTATGGTAGAACAGTGAAAGATGCCATTATGGGAATATTGGTGGGCAGCACTGAAAGGTTTTGATTAATGGGGAGGGAGATGGTGAGCATATGAATCATGAATATCCCAATCTAACATTGTAATTGAGGTATCATTTAGATTACACTGTGTAAGAAATAACATACAGATTCTTGTTGAATTGAATCAAGTCTGAACTTAGAGAAAGTCTCCATGTGTACCTTACTTAAAAAATATTATTTGTAGTGATGTCCAGAATGGTGACTTTGTTGCCTAAGTCTTCATATTCCATTACTGAGAGTCCTAAAATGAGATTATTAAACTGCTTCTAAACCTTACTCTGCCCAGAAAACAATGGCAGAAATTTGAAAGCATTTTATACCTTTTTTATCTTTTATTCTCCTCCATTCATCCACTGTCATCTTTTGAGCCTCCCTTGTGTTTTATATGGGCAGTGTACAGGCAGGATCTGTGAGCTAGGAAGACAAATGAACATATAAGCATGAATTAATTTATTGCATTTTTCAAAGCTCCAAATTGCAAAACCTGGCACAAAGTTTAAACCTCTGACCTTGCTTTACTAACAGTTGCTATTAAAAATGTGCCAGAAGCTAAAGACTAATTCTGTCTAATTTGCTAGCTGGTGCAGTTCTATCTACTTTTAGGATTTTAACTTGTCGACATGCCAACCTTATATTAACATATTAGTGCAGCCATTGATTTAAATCAAGTAGTTTGTCTTACAATTTTTCGGCAGTTAACATTAACAAAATGCAGGCAACCACACAATTTATAAAGCCCCAAGTCAAGAGGATATGCTCTTTCTTTTTTCTCTGGAAAGCAGGAAATCACTCGAGCTATACAGACAACAGGGTAGCATTCATTACTGTGCTCTTTTTGCATGCTCTGCTGGCACAAAGTAAGTGTGATTGCACTGTCTGAAGCTGTTGAGGCCATTAGGGATCCCCAAAACATTTTACACAGAAGTAAAATAGGCCCACTGTTCATTTGAAAGATACTGTCACTATTAATCAAGGCTCTCCACACAAATTACCTGTTAAGTCAATTGAATAAATCTGGTGCACTTAGTGACAGATTGCTCAAATGGCAACAATCGATACGGATGTTAACACAAACATCTCTTTCATTGTCACTGCTTCCCCATTTTCTTTCAGGAATTCTTTTAAAAACTGTTTTAAAGCATATCTTAGATGCTAGAAAGCCTTCATACCATCAAAAAATGGTTATGTATTCCACGGTGAGTTCTTTCTGTTTCTCTTGTGTTTCCTGTCTGCAGTTATTAAATGCAGTGAAAGCCATGAAATTTTATTTCCTTCATGAAATACAGCTACAAGCATTTTTTAATTTGGTTAACCTTAAACATCCTCAGATTTAAAAAAAAATTTAATGAACAGATACTACTTTGAAACCTGAAACATTCCACTTTCCACTGAATGTCATGGTTTTTTCATTGTAATAATGTTTTGATTGAGCAGGGAACTGGAAAAATCATGCCTTATGTTTTATTAAACCTGGATCACAAAGTTAATTTAAAACAAAATCTCCTTCGTGCAAGTCATCTTTTTCAAGTGCATATGGGAAAAAAATTAAGTTACAGTTACTTTAGAAGGCCTTATGAAGGTAGTAACTCAATTGTGATCCTATATTTTTGTTTAGAATGTACAAATGCTGTCATTGGAGGAGGAAATTTTTGGATTGCTCTCACTAAAAAGCTCTTGTTTCTAAACTGCATTTATATCATTACCTATTGGGTATATATCAGCTAAAGAGCTGATTTGATCTCAAATGCTGTTTACTTAACAGGCAAAACCACTAGTTCTTTTAAAAGAAGTTTTAACAGTTCCTATTAATTTTGTAAGAGCTGCAAGTAACTAAGACTTCTTAAATATTTACGTATGTGCATACTTTATATATGCAGGACTTCAGCTTCCATAGCCATAAAGGGACAATATTTGCTCAACGGTGCAGAGGGCAAGTACTAATGAGGCTATAATGAGGTTAATGTTGAGTGGACAGATAATGTGCAGAAATATTGTTAAATAATAGGTTCATGTAATCATTTTCAACAGACCTTTAATTAAAGGTTTCCTCTGTTCACAGCATGCAGCCACCATCGCTGCCTTACAGATGGCACTCAATGTCTTCAATGGGAAATTGCCTCCTCACAGTGCCTGCCATTTTTTTGAACTTTACCAGGAAAAAAACGGGCAAGTATCTGCAAGCTGTACTGCTAACATGTACTTTTTCTAAAAAGGAATTTTCTGATATCCAAGGCTAATTAAATTAGATACCTGAGGTTCACTATTCAGGAAAATATTACACATTGATTTTAATTATTGTAATTGCATTCAATTTAGTAGTCAGTAGCAGAATAAGCCAGAAAACCATATATATATATATATGAATATATATATATATATTACAATTATGAAACAGTTTACTCCATTGTTTTTATTTATTTAACTCTTTAGCAAAGATGACAAGCTACATGAAATTGGTGTTGACTGTTGCTTAAAAACTTCTCTTCAGAGTATTAATTACATTAGTAAATCATAAGCATATTAGCAACCAGACAAAAGAGCTGGCTAAAAGTTTGTCCCCAAGTACAATAACTGCAGCATGGAAAGGCTGTGTGGTTTTGCACACCTCACTTTATTTTGACCCCTCTGTATTTTGAAACAGGCAATACACCATAGAAATGTACTACCGGAATAATTCCTTGAGGGAGCCTCACCCCCTCACCCTCCCTGGCTGCAAATTTCGCTGTCCTCTGGAGAGATTTACTCATCTGGTCTCTCCCATCCTTATACACTATTGGACAAGAGAATGTAGAATTTAGGACATCAAAAGAGGTAAGTTAAGTGCTTTGGGTACATGTACCCAAAAGTAAAGTCAGGATTACATCTTGAGCCAACAGCTCATTTGAAGTGACAATCATTTTCATAAGGGTCTGCTATGAAATGAAAAATATGCAGATCCAGGAAAAGAGAATTGTACCCATGGCTGTCATTCCTACTCCATCAATACACTTATCTATTCTAGACCAACTTTCTAGTAAAATGAAATCAAAGCTGATCTAAATTTAGGGTGCTGTTTTTCATGTGGGGTTTTTTGTTTTGTTTTGGTTTAGTACAGTCAAAAAGACCTTCAGTTACTGAAAAACTACATATAAAGACACTGACTTAAAACAGTCGCCTTTCCTTCTCTAAATGTAGAATGTTTGTCCAAGTTGATTAACAATACTCAACAATTATGCATTCTCTTGATTTTAGCAGGCATTCAGAGATCAAAACAGATGAATATTGAATAGTACACCAGATTGGAATGTCAAAATTATACAGACACACATTGGTATACTAACTCATTCCCTCATAGGAAAGCAGAAAATGATATTGTCTGTCTTTTATCTAGCTCTATATTACTTAAGGGAAATGAAAACTTAAGAAACCTGACTTTTCTAACGTTCAAATATTGTACCCAACATTAAAAAATCCCATATGGCTTTCTGAATCACTGATCTCAAGAAGAATTTGAATCATTGTAGATTATAAGAATACAGACCAGCTAACTCATCTTGAAAATAATTTCCTGCTAAATATCTTGAATCCATTAATAGAGTGGAGATAGTCTGGCCAGAATACACAAAAAATTAGCAAGTAATGATTCACTAAACAAATTTCTTCACTACAGTCATTGCTCACAAATTCTCAGGAAATTATCACATTTAATTGCAAAAAGTAATTTGGCAGAGGAAGGGGAAGGTTTTTTCTGATGAGTTTTTTTCCAGCCACATTAATAACACAGTCATGGAGGATAATGATAAGAACTTAGTATTTATATTGTGGTGCTTGATAATCTAAGATTTGTGGAAATTAATCCCCCTCCTTCACAAAGAAAACTGTGTAACTTATCAGAAAAATAAATGAAAAAATGATAATATATCAACATTTTACAATTATAAAGGTACAAATATTTAGCGTTTAAGTTTAACACAAAGGCTGTACTTTGCTTCAATCATCACATTTTGCTGAAGTAGAAGTTAGATGATGTTCAGGTATTTTACACCAAATCCAGCATCACTGATTTTATTAGCAACCCTGAGTGCTGAAAACACAAAAGGACCACAAAAGAGGTTATAACCAAACCTGATACTCCAATAAAAATGTTTTCCATATTGTCATATAAAAATTTGACATTTTACACTATTTTATCCTGGTTCAGAACGGACCTGTTGTAGCCATATCCTATTTTTTTTTTTTTTTTTACTAATTGAGGAAACATTAATTTCACTTTTCCTGCAGGCAATTTTAGATTCTCTGCTGTGCATGAGTGGCACTTGGGAAAAGGCCAAGGCACACTGATGCACAGGCTGCGCAGTGCAGCACACTGACAGACTGCCCTGTGCTAAACCACTGTACACTAACAATTCACAATGAATGCAGACAGCCTGGAACAGTTGATTTTTAACACCAGAAAGCTAAATTAAGGAGAAGAGTGATGCACAGTTTACACGTCACAATTATACTTGACACAGACAGCTGCAAAATCCCTGATTTCAGCTGTTTCCAACTCTTTCAAAAATCATCTCAACAACCTTTGTTTGCTAATGCATATGTTATTAATTTGATTATACATGCATGAAAGCATTTTATGAAGCTCATAAATGTAATTTAAAAAAATAAAATTCAGGAGTGTGACTGAGTGCAAAAGTGCAATTTATATAGATAACTATTCTACACGGAGACTCCAGTTCACAAACATACAGATGTTTCTATAAGAAGCTTAATTGAAGTTTTATGGAGAGGATTTATGCCCCCACTACAAGAAAATAAAGGGGTTAGGCAAGTATTGTTATTATAGGTCACACAATACAATAGCAGTATTTAAGAATGGTTTAAATCAGACTTAAATTCCTCCACATCTCAATAACCATAGGGTGAAACATAGGCAATTACTAAAGCTCAGCATATTTGGGAAGGAGGTAAAACTGTGAGCTCTTCCTGTGCTCTTTTTGGTGCTCAGGAAGTTTTCAGCATGGATTGACACAACATTTCAACAGATTTTTCCTAATCCCATTAAAACAGGAACAAATGTGTTAACTCCTCTCCACTTAGTCTGAACTGCTTACTTGTTGAGGTACTATCAACAGGTTTGCCATGCTTTTGGAGAATGCCATATGCTAAGAATGCATTTCTCTTTTTGTCTTATCTTTAGGTGTTCCCTCCACTATCTTCAGTGTGGTTCACTTTATGAAAGAACTCTTCCCACACTGTGATATGACTGTGGTCCAACATTTCTCTTTAAATTCCATCAGCATGACCAATTGAGTCTCCTCATCTCTACTAAAAGAAAACATTCCTTAATACTACAAAAATTATAGAAAGCAAGGACTTTGTCTTCATGAATATTTGCTTTACTTTATCACCTGGTAAAACCTAAGTGCAATATGAAACCAGTGGAATTTTTCAAGACCTATTCTTTCCAATGGGACTTTGTCAGAACTAATTCAACTATGCAATGATAGTTAGAGAGTTTTAAAGGATTACAGCCTTGATTTACAGCAAAATTGGAAAATATGTCTGAAGGAGTGTTGCCCTCTTTTGAAGAATGAGACAATAACTTCGAGAATTGGTGACAGAAGCAATGCTTCGAATGGAGACCCTAAAAGGCGGAGTCATTCCACTGTCCTTAGAATTTATTTTACTTAAGAAGCAATGAATCATTTTACACAAACAGATCTCGGAAACCACAAGAATTAGGATAATGCCTGCTTAATTATCAAAGGGATTTCTTTCTCCTTCTTTTCTCTGCCTTTTACATGCACAAATCTCTACACAGAAGGAAGATGAGAGTTGTGGAAAACTTGGACTGTGAATCTAGACCTAATAG